ACAGTAAACTTCTTTCTGTACCAATGACATCAGTGAATGGATTCTTGTTAGTTTTTTACCCTCAGTGACCTAGAGGTCTTATATCTCTGAGTTATACTTCAACCTTATTCCCTAATGGTTGCCATATTCAACTTTCCTGTTCTGTGTCTTCTGATATATATAAAAAAATCAATCTAACCTTCTTTAAATCAAACTGAACAAGTTGTAAACAATGATAGGTCTTTTTTTAAAAAAAAATGTAATGTGTGTCAGAGTGGAGAGAGGTGTTTATGATATAAGCAAGCCGAATGTACAAGAAAGAAGTGAATAGAGGTTAAACGCTGCTTACCATGTATATACTAAAATAAGGTGGAGGTGGAAAGGTTACTACTGTAACCCAGCAGTGGTTAGACAATTCTTTTCATCTTTTATAAGCACTTGCCACATAACATCTCACATTAACAACTATCAAAAAGAAAGACAAAAAATTTGAGATAGCAGTTCCTGGAGATAGCAAAATAGAAAGGAAAACACTGGGGGGGGGCGGGGAATAACAAGAAACAAACACCTGCAAATAGAACAACAGTGGATAAAAATAAAAGCTGACAATGACTTATAACTAGTACATTAAAAAAAGAAACTGAAGGCTTGATTTTGACTGCTCAAGAGCAAACTATTTGAACTAATGTAATCAAAGTATCAAACAATTCAAAGTGCAGATTGTGTAAAGAGGCAGAAGAAACAGTAACTCATATACTCAGCTCATGCAAGAGGATTCACAAACTGATTATAAACAATGACAAAACAGTGGCTAAAATGATTCACTAAAACATCTGTAAAAAAAATTATCATGTGCCACTAATAAAAATTGATGTGATCATAGTGTTGAAAAATAGTGGCTAAAATGATTCACTAGAACATCTGTAAAAAAAATTATCATGTGCCACTAATAAAAATTGATGTGATCATAGTGTTGAAAAGATATTCGAAAATGAGCAGGTTAAAATATTGTGGGATTTCTGACTGTGTTGGAACACAACACACCAGACTTAACTATAGCTGAAGAGAAGAAAGTATGGATACTTGATGTGGCAGTACTAGGCAATAGTAAAAAAAAAAAAAAAGAATTGGAGAAAACCACAAGCATCAAGATCTGAAAATCAAAATTGAAAGATTATGACATATACTTTCCCAGTAGTCCCAGTGGTGACTGGTGCCCTGGATGCCATACCCCCCAAAATTGGATAGCACTCAAAAAATCTGTGTCTTGACAAAATTTCCATCTTTTAATTGCAAAAGGCCACACTGCTTATATTATGCTGATACATTACAATATCACATAACCTTAGGTTCTTGGGAAAAACTTGATATATATGAAGATCAACAACAGTTAAAGAACTGGCAGCTGTGATTTCACATTTTGTGTATATATTATAATGTATTAACCATTAGATTATATCAGAATATAAAATAAACAACAACATCATATGTTACAAAATAGAATTAAGGCAGAACTAAAAGGAAATGCAAATACAATGCAAATGCAATACTCCTACAATTTATCGATCAGATCCACTTATGCATTGTTAACTGGGTGTTTTCAGGTACAGGACTGTGTTATTCTAACTGCATATGAAATATGTTGTTTTAATGTAAGAATCCCAAGAGGCCATTTGTCTAATGTGTAATCTAAGATATTAAACTCTTTATTTTTTATACAGTTGACATTCAGATAATATATGCACTACCTCTATCTCCGGAGCTCCACAACTACAAATATATTCATCATTAGGAACGTGGTCAACATTTCCATATACCGTATATTCCGGCGTATAAGACGACTTTCTAAACACTTAAAATCTTCGCAAAAGTCGGGGGTCGTCTTATACGCCGGAAAAATATTTACTCAGCAAGTTTTCTTTCCCCCCCCCTCTCTCTCACTCAAAAAGAGTCTTAGGGTTATTATTAAAACCAGCCGATCAACTAAAGATATCTCTTTCCAGCCTCTATACTGGGAGCACGATAGGCATTATCTGGCTGTCGTGACAGTAAGATTTCCTGGAGGTTTAATCCCCATTCTATAATGCTACATTGCAAACCGTCTCTTCTCTTCTTCCCTCCCTTTTGCATCCCAATTCCTTGCCCACCCCTCCAGAACTGCGGATTGGTAGTGGCCATCCCCTGATTAATTCATGTAATGGGGAAGGGGGGAAAAGAGTTGTAGGGTGGTTTTTTTTTATATAATGAAAACAAACCTAAGCATCTGCATCCATTCGAGGCACTTCTCAGTGCTTCTTCATGCAGGCTTTTCAGCGTTTACCTCTCACTGCCTGTGAGAGTAGCTTGGAGGAGGCGGAGCTTATGGGTCTGGAAGGGGAGGGGTGTCAGCTAAATTCCTCTCGGATTTACGAAGCAGGAATGGAGTGGGGACAGAAAACAGCTACACAATCCTTTCGCCTATCGACTTCCACCGAGCTTATGCAAGCAGTTCCCCCCCCCACCTAAATAAACTTGCATGGTGCATTTGTGGTGTTATTTATGACAGATCCTGGCTGGTCAATCTGGCTCCCATCTATAAGTACTGTAGTGCACTGAGTTTTAATAACAAATTAAAAGGAAAGCATTTACTCCCCCCCATTACCTGAAAAGGGGGCAACTTATCACATTTGTGGAAATGCAAGTTTTCAAAGGGCGAATGCCTTTCTTACTTGGTTTATTAACTGCTTCCTTTCCTTCTTCCCTAAACATTCTGGCTGTCGCCAATTTCATTCTTGGTAGTGTTGCTTTAAAAAACTGCTGAGAAGTCCTTTTGCAGGCAGGGCAATTTTCATCAAGGTGTGTGTGCGATTGACAAGGCAGAGCCTTTGACAAACAGGCAGGCTTTCTGCTCACTCAGCTTGGAAAGGCTGTGGAGGATTCGCAGGGTGGAAGACTGAGAGGAGGAGATCCCTGTGTGCAGCCTGCTTGCTCCAAGCCAAAGCTTGCTACTGGGGGGGGCAATGGAAGGGACCCGGGGAGTCACACGCATGCCTACACGTGCACGCACACACCCTGAGCTACTCATTTGGACTTACAGGTGGCCAATGAGAACTCAGAAACTGTGCTCCCTTTCCCCCTCCCTCATGGAAGAGGGGTAGTCTTATACGGCGAGTATAGCCCAAACTCTATATTTTAACTGGAAAAGTTGGGGGTCGTCTTATACGCCCAGTCGTCTTATACGCCGGAATATACGGTAAAATTATTGTGTCCAATTGCTCAAATCTTGTTTGTTTAAATACCCTACTCAGATGTTTCAGCATTTCTGTGTGTCAATATTTACGATTTGGAAGGTGTGTTTATAGCTGCTCATCCATCCACCCATTTACCCACATATCTTCTCTGAGGTATAGAAAAGCAAACTGAGATGCTTCTGCATGTTGTGGAGTCCAAATGTTATCTTTCTCTCTCCTTCCTTCCCTCTTCCTTCAGCAGCCAATTTATCTTTTTTTCTTTTAGGGCTTTGAACAGGAGTGAACATTGGCCAGCCAATCTTTTGGCAGGCAGAATTAGCATGAAATCTATCAGTCATTCAGGGAACAACAACCAAGAAAAGTAGATTATTCTGTCCTTGATGGAGCTACAGCATAGGATACAATCCCTCCCTCCCTTCCTGGCATGCAGAAAAGTAGTCCAAAGCAGGGAAGTATGGACACATTTTCCTTTTCACTGAGACTAGGCAGTCCTGATGAGCTTGCCTGCCTCAAAACTGCAGGCTTGGGCACTTATAGGGAAAGATAGGTGGAAAGGTAGGGAAATGGTAAAATATAGGCTTATTTGTCTTCACTAGGTAGCATATAATTTACTTTGTAGCTACTATATATAGGTACTGGTATTATCCTTCCTTCTATTTTTATTCCACTACTGTATTTTCACTAAAAATCCCGAGGTGCTTCATGATAAAGGATGTCTTTTATTATATAGCTTTATGGGGTATAATTAGTGATAACAATGAAATCTATAATTACCTCATTTAGTAAGTGAAGTTTTCCAGGTCATAATGCTTGCTTGTATTATCTATCAAACACTATTTTCTCCACAATTTTATCTCCAGTTTTGGAAGTTAAATGAATTCTGTGAATTATATACTGATAAAACCATAAATACCTCTGAGCAACAGCCTTTTGCTTTAGTGGGCATCTGAGAAGAAAACCTTTCCAATAGGTAAACTAAAACCAGGGTCTACCTCATCCCAAATTATGGCTGAATCCTTCAGCTGTTTTTATACCTCTTAGTCCAATACTTTTAAGCAGCAAATGAAAAACACAAATTATTTATTTCCTATAAATCAGAGGTTCTCAACCTGTGGGTTGCGACCCCATCTGGAGTCAAACGACCATTTCATGGGGGTCGCCAAACAACGCAGTCCACTATTTTTTCCCCTTTTCCTTAGCTGTGCTACTCCCTTTTATTCTATTGGCTTTTGAAAGCCAATAGAATAGACTCTCTTGAATAGAGTCTAATTCTATTGGCTTTCAAAAGCCAATAGGAATTGTCCAGGCTGTCTCTGCCCTGCTGAGCCCGCCAAAAGTCCCAGTCTGCAAACGGTGCTGGAAGTTGTCTGCAGTGAAGGCGAGCTGTCTGGAAGCTTCCACCCTTCCCTGCTGAGCAACTACTAAAAATGTAAGTAAAAGAGGGCCAGGGGAGGTGGGAGGCCAGCGGGCGCAGGGAGGGTTGCTGGCGCGCGTGGGGCCCGGCGGGTGCCTTACCTCCCTTGGACTGGGCCAGCTGGTGGCCCAGCCGGTGGTCGCCCTGCGCCGTCGCTGCCCCTTGCCAGCTACGCCTTGGCCTGCGCAGGGGGTGGCACCACGCATGCGTGGCGCTCCCGGGCAGGAAAGTCCTCGACTTACAACCAGTTGGGTAGTCCTCAACTTACGACTGGTTGGGTAGTCCTCGACTTACGACCAGTTGGGTAGTCCTCGACTTACGACCGGTTGGGATCGCGGCATTAAAAAGGTTGAGAACCACTGCTATAAATGCTATCTTCTAATGTGAAATGCACTACACAGGGGAAGATTAATGCAATACTTCATTTTATTAATTTTTAGTATTTCTTCTCATGGTTGATGTTACAAGTCATGGTCCCAAGTCTATTTTCTGTTTGTTCTTTAAAACACACATATATACATTCAAAAATACTCCTTCTTTATGAACTTTAAAATTATCCTCTTCATAAAAGTAGAGGCTTAGAAAATTGAGACTAACAGCTTGTATTCCAAACTAGTTTCTGTCTCTAAAGCTTTGACACAAAGCTCAGAATGGCAAAGAATTGAAATAATGTTTAATCTTCTACTTACCACACAAAACAAAGTCTTTAGATTTACCCAGAAGCCCACACCCTGTTGTTTGCTGCTCTGGATACAGACTCTCGGAGATACATTTCTGCTGATGTAAAGACACAAAGCAGTGATGGATCTTACTAGCCTCAGGTAAGATTAACTGGATCAACATCTCCCTACTTTCCAAATCCTAGCTGAACACTGCTGTCCATAATTCCATTTGCTGGCATTAAAACTTCAATTCCTCATGGACTGCTCTCAGGACAACATTTGTCAATTCTTTCTTATAAATACAAGTTCTGTGTCAATCATTAGAGAATTCAAGAGAAACTTGGAGGGGAGAACATACCACAGCCGGCTCCTTTGATTTTACAGTGAAAAGATCTTGTAGGGAGAATGGGAAAAGAAAGCCTTAAACCTCTAGCATTGTCACCTGCTACAGTTATGCTAATGTAAACAACAACAACACATCAATATTGCAATAACTTCACTTATTACAACTAATGCATACAAAGACATAAGCAGCTTATCTGAAAGATCTACAGCAGGAAAGATAAAATCAATAGTGCCTGATAGCAAATCAGCTTGCTATCTAAAAATCAGTAAAGCTGGCTCAGGGTGGGATGGAGAGCAGGTAAATAAATGAATAAAGAAGATATTAGTGTAATTAAGAACACTTTCAAATTCCCCACAAAGCAGTGTGAAGCCTATCCATAATTGCTGCCTTTTTTTTGCTCTCTAAACATTAAGAATAAGGAACAAATATGCCATTTATTCATTGCTCTACCTTGATGTGGCAGACGTTCTGGAGGAACATAAATCTCGACTCCACACAAAATAGCTCAGTGTAAAATAGATAAATAACAATCTGTGTAAATTCAAGGGGGGAAAGTCATCACTCTTTCCCCTGCTTTTCACTTGGAAAGACTTGCTAGGAAGCTGAAGATCATAAACCAGAAGGTAAAGTGAAAACAACCTCTTTATATGGTTTGTCCATTAGTTCTATTAAAACCTCAATATTTTTTTTTAAAAAAAACCCAGCAACAACCCTAAACCAAAATAAGCTTCATTATGATTTCAAATATTACACACCAGAACCAGAGATAAATTGGCTTTAAAACTAATTCTGAAATTATGCAAAGACTCCCAGGTGGAACTATCCTAGAGTGAAAGGATAATGGCCAATATCATAGATGAGACATCTTAACTCATGTAGTTGTTGCTGCAATCTTAACTTGTGTGCCCTCTACTGAAGACACCTCCAATCATAGAAGTACAAAATAGTGCTTCACCAGTTTTGAAAATATTTTTTATTTTATTTTATAGACATGTTATGTCCTATGGTGGAGTATTAGCTATTTTCAGAATGTCATGTGAAAAATCAAACTGCTTGCCTGGCAATTTAAAGACATTAACAAGTTAACCAAACAAAGTAATAATTTAATAGTTTAAATATTTTGATTTTAAAAAAAGTAAATTTAATAATTGAATTAATTAATTAATTAATTGTATTTAAACTATTATTAACAAAGTAATGATTTAATAATATTTTTTGTTTAAACTGTTTCAATTCCTCCCCTTGGGACAGCGTTATAGGACGTTGCCTGCCAAAACTAGACATAGGGACAGTTTTTTCCCTTGTGCCATCACTCTGTTGAACACCTAATTTTCACAATTGCTGTCTAACATTTATGTATATTTACTCAGGTAGCGTTGCTGCAGCATTATTTATCCTTCTTATCTTTCCCCCATTTTATTGGTGTTATTATTATGAAGATTATTATTAGCCTGTTGTTTTGCACGTACACTGAATGCTTCTATACCACAGACAACTTGCTTGTTTGTTTAATCACACTTGGCCAAATCAATTTCAGTTCAATTCAATTTGTGCGCAATAAACACAGTGACATGTATTCCTCTATGCAAGACATCAAGCTACAGGAGAAGAGGGACTTTGTAATGAAAAATTATCTTTCATTCTCTTTAGACTACCACTAACACCACTCCATTCTATTCAGCCTCTTCTGGTAGTTATCCAGATTTCAATGCCAATCAAGCATGATCATTCAGCTGGTCTGGAGCTTATTGCAGAGGGAGAAATTGAATTGGGATTATATTTCTAATGCAGCTCAGCATTAGATTTCTCTCCTTGTGTGTACTTGCAACTTGTTGTGCCTGAGGAATTTTTAAATAGCATCTTAACATGAGGTAGAGGATGACTTTTTGTAATGTGGATAATTTTTGTTTGTCTCATCTTTTGTCCTCTCTTTCAGACGTTTCCTTCTGTTTTTCTGACACCATCTCAACATTTCAGTGTTGAGTTGTTACATGGTCTTTTTAAGAGTCTCATTTTAGAGAGTATTATTTTTGTAATAGTGGTGAATATCTGTCGCTCAGGTGTACGATGAGGGTGAAGGTTCATTCTTTGAGCTTGTGAGTTGGTTTCTGAACGTTTTGTGACCAGGCAGCATCTTCAGCGGAGTTTAGGGGGTGCCAGTGTCAGTGTCAGTGTTCTGTTTATAAGGGCTTCTGGTGTGGGTGTGTCAAGTGAGGGTCTTGTGATGGATCAGGTGTGAGTCATCAGTGAGAGGTTTGTGATGGGTTTTGTGATGGAGAAGTTACCTCAGGTCAGGGTCATTGGGAGGTGAACCACTGGTGGGCGAGAGGGGGCTTGTGTGGGTTGGTTGAGGGTCCATGCTGTCTCTGGTTGGTTGTGCGGTTGATTTGGATTCTGAGGGGTTCGTAGGCTTGTTGTAGGTTGATGTGTCTGTTGATGGAATTGCTTGTGGAGTGCCAAGCTTCGATGAGCTCATGAGTGTGGCAGGTGGTAATGTGGCCAATGATTTTACTGTTGCTCCAATCGAACCGGTGTTGTTTGCTGTCGGTGTGGGTAGAGATGAAAGATTTGGGATCCTGGCATTTGCTGACAGTTCACTTCATGATTTAAGTATACCAACACCTGATATGACATCTTGCTGTTATTTAGCTACATTATGGTAGGCATTCTTGCCTGAAATTAGGAACTAGCAGATAAGATCATATGCTTTGGGACAGAGCAGATGAAACTATAAGGCTCTGGTGACTGTAAGGATTATCTTTTCTTTCCCTCCACATGAAGCTTCTACTCTAAAGCTTATCAGTTTAGGGAAGAATGGAGCACATGAATTTACAACAGCATCATCTATGGAGATTCTCAGTCATGGTTGTCCCAAAGGTGCTTTTTCAGGAGGCAACTGGACTTTATTGTTTTTCTTTGAAGACATTTCACTTCTCATCCAAGCTTCTTTTTAGCTTTACCTGGATGGTGGGGAATGGAAGGATTTATATTCCTTGCAGACAGCTGGTCATTTGCATTCTTTTAGAGATTAGTTGAGGCCATTTGGGGGTAGGGCAGAAAATATACACACATTTGCACTATTCAGGTGATCCTGAGGACGTGGATAAACCTCCAAATGACCTCAACAACTCTCTAAAAGAATGCAAATGACCAACTGCCTGCAAGGTATATAAATCCTTCCATTCCCCACGATACAGTCAGAACTAAAGAAGCTTCTTGGATGAGAAGTGAAATGTCTTCAAAGAAAAACAAGAAAGTTCTGTTGCATCAGGAATACACCAGCAAAAGGAAGTAGTAAGCTTGGAAAACTGGGAAAGCAAGCTCCAATGCCTACTCTGCCATCCACTATGCCCTGTGATAATTACTAAACCTAGCTTTCCTCTCTGGATCCTATGAGAATACAGAGTGGAATAGCAGTATTCACTATGTTGAGCCCCTTGGAAGGATGGAAACATCTGTAATTGATAAAGTTATTGCAAGTTACTAATTAGATTTAATTAAATTAATAGTGTACAGGTAATGACATTGACTGCTTTTACTACTCCTAGAGGCAGCTTATTCCACTGGTTAATTGTTCTAACTGTCAGGAAGTTTCTCCTTAGTTCTAGGTTGCTTCTCTCCTTGATTAGTTTCCATTTGCTGCTTCTTGTCCTGCCTTCAGGCACCTTGGAAAATAGCTTGACTCCCTCTGCTTTATGGCAGCCCCTGAGATATTGGAACACTGCTATCATGTCCCCCTCGTCCTTCTCTTCATTAAACTAGACATACCCAATTCCAGCAGCCTTTCCTTAGATGCTTTAGCCTCCAGTCCCCTATTCATCTTTGTTGCTCTTCTCTGTACTCTTTCTAGAGTCTCAACATCTTTTTTACATCGCGGTGACCAAAACCGGATGCAGTATTCCAAGTGTGGCCTTACCAAGGCATTGTAAAGTGGTATTAATACTTCATGTGATCTTGATTTTATCCCTCTGTTAATGCAGCCTAGCACTATGTTCTCTTCATTAAACTAGACATACCCAATTCCAGCAACCGTTCCTTATGTGTTTTAGCCTCCAGTCCCCTAATCATCTTTGTTGCTCTTCTCTGTACTCTTTCTAGAGTCTCAACATCTTTTTTACATCATGACCAAAACTGGATGGAGTATTCCATATAGTCCTCATCTGCCAGTCACAATTGGGACATGTAACTGGTCTTTAAGTGAAGTGGTTGCTAAATGAAACTGCAGCTATGCTAATAACCTTACTTTAGCTTTCCTTTGTGTTACAGATTTGGAAAGGCTATAAATGTGAGAACTGGTTGAAAAGTTTTTTTTTTATCACTGTTGTAATTGCAAATGGTCACTAAATAAAACAGTGCATAACTATATATAACATTCCCTTTGAGAAAAGAATATACATTTGTTAGTAAAGAATAAAATAAAAAATAAAGGTGTGGTCAGATTAAATAAAAATAGGAGACATCTTAACCAAAGGAATAAGCTTCTTTGGCTAAATGCTCAACATGTTTTCTATCCTTTTCTATAAAATTTGCGAAACTTAGTCCCTGATATCACATTAAGTTCTGTGCCACATTCCAAAACTGTTGGGAATTAGTTCCTTTCATTTTAAATATTTTCCCTTATATTCCACTTCTTTCTTCAGAAAATAAGATTGTTGACACTCTTCCAAATTTTACCAGCAGTAGCATTCTGATAGTTTGTTCTATTGTTACAGCAATCTATTCTGGCAGCTAAGATATTTTCTTTCCAATTTGTTCCACCTGTGGGGAATATAAGTGTTCACACGGCTGACAAGTATTCTACAACTGAGATGGC